ACAGCTTGAGGCTGTTCCCTCTCCTCCTGTCCCTTGTTCCCTGGGAGCAGAGCCTGATCCCCCCCAGCTCCCCCCTCCTGTCAGGGGGAGAGCGAGAAGATTCCCCCTGAGCCACCTTTTTCCAGGCTAAATTTGTTCCCTAAAATACAAGTGAGCAGCTGGGCTGGGCTCACACACACCCTGCACAGCCCCACTGGGACTCCCATTCCTGCTGTATCCAAGTGGGACACACACCACCTTTTCCCTGGAAGCTGCCAGAGCCAGTGGTGGACATCTCCTTTCCATCCCTGGGGAAACTCCAGTGGCAGACACCTCATTGCCATCCCTGGGGAAATTCTGGTGGCAGACACCTCATTTTCATCCACGGGGGAATTCCTTGTCTCTGGCTGCTCTCAGAGCACAGCCTGGGAACAGCAGCACCCACAGGACAAATCTGGAGTGACTGGTTTCCAACTGGGAAAGCTGCAGGGATCCTCAGCTGGGATCTGACCTCCCAAAGCCCCTTGGGAACAGTCTCATTTCAGCTTCCCTTCACCCTGTTACCAGACCACTTTAAGTGAAATAAAACACACCCTTCCCATGGGAATGAGAGCACACACAGGGGAGTGAAGCTGGTTTTGCTGGTGTGTTGAACTGGTTTCTTCCTAACTCCCCGTTTAGCCTTGCAGGTCCTGCTTTCTCCCAGCTATGTTTCCATGGCAATTTGATTTTTTTCTTTTTTTCCCCCATCTGTAAATCTTCATCTCGGAAAAATGTGACTGTCAGGGGTTTGTTTTAAGATTTCTGCATGGATACAGTGGGATTGAAGGAGCAGGTGAGTCCTCCCCCCAAGCCTGGGACCACGAGGCACATCCTCTGCTCCCTGCAGGTCCTGGCTGCTCACTGGTGTGATGAGCCCAGCGTGCTCAGGGGGTGCTGAGCTCCAGGCACAGCCCCTGGGGGGTTGTCTGAGGACACACAGTCAGGATCCCACGTGCTGGGCTGGATGGGAGGGATTTTGGGATTCCCTGGGTCGGTGGGAACAGGGAGGTTTGCACAACTCAGCTCGGGATGCTCGACCCTGTCCCAGGAATTCCAGCCCTCCCTGGGGGGCTGGGGGGGGAAGTGGGGGAGCTCTGGCTCTGCTGCTGTTGTTTCCATGACAATCCTGAGCCAAGGATGCAGTAAAACCAGAGATGAACCTCCACATCTCCTGGCATGTCTGTGCTGCCACGGCAACCCCCCATTCCCAGGGCCTTCCTTCCCAAGGGAGAGAAGGAACAGCGGCCTCAACAGACCCCTCATGGGTGTGATGGAGCTGGCACAGGGGTGAACATCTGTGTTTCCCTCCAGCTGTGGCACTTGGTGCTGCCTGAGCCCCTGGAGGGCACTGTCTGTCCCCTGGCTGGGCACCTTGGAGGGGTTGGGTGCCCTTTGCAGGGGGTGCAAGAGGCCCCAGTGACTCTCCCAGCCCAGTGAGTCAAGCAGGACTTTGCTCCCATTTTACAGGTGGGGAAACTGAGGCCAAGGTCAACAAGAGTGGGCAGAACCCAAACTTCCCAGCTCTTTGCAGGAGAAGGTTCATTACCCATAATAAACCTTCAGGCCACCTTCTGACCCAGTCACAACGTGAATCAGCAGAGAAAACACCATCTCCCTTACTCAGATGGAGCCATGTGGCACCTGCTTTGCCTTTTTCCAAGCAGGACCATCCTCCATGGAGCTGCCAGTGCTGCCAGCAGAGCTGGGGGGAGACAACTCCAGCCAGAAACAACCCATGACTCAGGTTGGATCTTCATTTCCCGATAAATGAGTGCCAAGAACAGCTTCAGACTGTTAATTGCCAGGGAGAAGTGGATCCTTTTGGACATAACAAGGCAGGGGGAGAGGGAAGCTCTGTGCCCTTGGCAGCACTTGTGATTTTAATTGCAGCTTCTTGCATGTTCACAGATGAACTTTGTCCCCTGCACCCGAGTGCACAGTCAGCTGGAGCTTTGTTAAGATTTTTCAAGGGATGCTCCAAGCAGAAAACCCCGACAAAAGTCATGGAAAAGCCACCAGGAATAGAAAGCTGAGCTTTCTGCACCGTATAATGCTCTGCAGCCAGTTTGAAGCAGATGCTGGATTAATCCCCAATTTAATTAACGCTGCTCTAATCCTTCAGTTGAAAAGAGCAGCTCGGGATTTGTTGGGAAATGCTGCCCTGTGCACAGTAATGGGGGTTAATATATTGAAAAATGCAGCCATCGAGGAGCTTTTGCTCTGTTCCCAACCTGGGACAGACTGAAAACTGAATTTACAGGCCCTGAGGAGTGGGGCTGGATGTGAATGAAGGTCTGTGGTTGGGGCTTCCCACCGTGACAAAATCAGGTTAAAAACTCTAAAAGGTACAAACCAGCCCCCGAGTGATTGGAATTTATTTTTAGTTTCTCTGCCATCTGAGCCAATCAAAGGGTTCTCAGGGTTATTTTTTGCCACGTTGATGGGTGATTACAAGAAATGGGCTGAAGGAAAGAGCAGTGGGCTGGTGCTCAGCCCCAGGGCTCCAGGAGGAGCCATTCAAAACCATGCTAAAACTGTCAAAATTAGCAAAACCGTGCCTGGCACGTGTCTCCAGGGACATTCTCACCCCTGGTTGCACCTCTCCAGGCTCAGGATGACAGGCAGGGTTTGCCCCTGAGCCTTTTTGGGGTTTGCTCTGCACAGGGATATTTATTTAGGAGCTAAAGACATCCAAATCAGATTTTCTTGTGCTTCTGGGTCCCATGAGACCTTCCTTTTCTTACACTTGCAGCAAATACTTCACCCCCACTAATGCTCCTCAGCCCCAGGTCAGAGCTTGGAAACATTTCTGGTGCATCTCATGAGTCCTGATCTGGGCAGATTTCATCAGAGGGGGTCATAGTTGGGCTTTTAATTTTTCTCTCTTAGTGGAAAACAGCTATTTTGTAGAAAATGAATTTTTTTAGGGGAAGTAACAGTTTTTCAAAGCCGGTTTCATGTTTATGGTTTCATCCTCTCCTGCGTGTCATGCAGGAAAAACAATGAGTTCTGCCTGGGTTTTGGCAGCTCTTCTAAAAAAAAAAAAAGCTGTTTGTTTTGTTCTCCTTGTTATGATCACTGATGAAAACTAATAACTGTGTGTGTTTTAAACCCAGAGTTTCTTCTGTGGTGTAGAAAACACCTTCCCCTCCCCTTCCACGGGTGCAACTGGCTCCATGCCAGGATTTCCTGTTTAAAATCACAAACCCTGTGGCTTTTAAGTCTCTTCTGGATCCCTGCAGGTTGTAATTTTGTTTGGTTGAGGTGGATTTACAGGGATTTACCCATGGATGGACCTGACACACAGTCCAGGTTGTGGGGAATGTGGGGAATTCATGGAATTAAGTCAGAGATGAACAGACCCAGGGCAGGTGCAGAAATAGGCAGAACAGGTTTGGATGGAAAACGTTTCTCCCAAAACAATTCCCGTTGCCCAACAAATGAGACTAAATTGGAGCTTTCTCGTCCCACTTGCCAGGTAATTACTGAGGGGACCATATGGAATCTCCTCCTGAGTGCTGGAAGTGGCTCAACACCAGGGTGGGATTGGTAGGAGTGAGGAATAACAGGATTGGAATTGAAATTGGGGGTGCTTGGGAGAGGGTTTGAGCCCACTGTGGTCTGTGCTCACCTGGGGCTTGGGCAGCTGCAGAGCCCAGGGAGGTGTTGAGCAAAGATGAGGTTGGATGGGGATGTTCTGCATCCCCAAAGGTTTTGGGGGGAGCTGGCCTGGACCCTCAGGGCAGGGGTGTTTTGGAGGGGCAGCACTGGGAGGGGTTGGCAGGGAGGAAACCCCCAAAAGGGACCTTCCTGGGGGGCAAACGCAGGGTCAGAGAGTGAGGGAGCTTGGGTGGGGTATTGGGAAGGAATTTTGGGCTGGGAGGGTGGGGAGGCCCTGGCACAGGTTGCCCAGAGAAGCTGTGGCTGCCCCTGGATCCCTGCAAGTGTCCAAGGCCAGGTTGGATAAATTTGGAACAACCTGGGCTGGTGGAAGGTGTCCCTGCCCATGGCAGGGGTTGGGAATGAGATGATCTTTGAGGTCCTTTCCAACCTAAACCATCCTGTGCTTCTGTGATCCTATGAGGAAGATTCTCTTGGGAGAAGGCAGCAGATCCCTTTGCTGCCTGACTGAGGCAGCAGAGTGACATCCTCTCAAGTGATGAGTTCCTGAGCTCTGGAAACCTCATGTCATCCAGTACCACCTTATTCTCCCCTCTGTCATCCCATGGCCTGGTGTCTTCTGCTCTTGTGTCCTGCATGTCTTTGCAGCAGCTCCATGGCTGTGATTCCTTGGTGCCAGTTTGTACCAGGCCTATTTAGGATTTCATACAGTGCTGTTAAAAATTGAAATGAAAATAGTAGCAAAACACTAAGGAATAGTAAGAAAGTAAAGAATGATTCATCTTTAAACAGAAGCTCTTTAGGTGTGGAGGTGGCATTGCTGGCCACCAACATGGATTCACAGAGTGGGTAACTGGGATTTTAGGCCAAATTATGCATTGTTAACAACTTCCTTTGCAGATCAGTGTGTCCCCCCCCTTAGTCCCATGTGTTCCCTCAGGTTTGTTGGGATGTGAGTCCATAGCAGCAGCACTAAAAGGAGAAGGGTTACATGTCCCAGCTCTGCCTGTGTGGTCAGAGGAGCCCAAAGCTGGAGAAACCCTGAGTGTTCAGGGAAGGTGAGCCCTTGGGATAAGCAGTGTGTAAGGACCAGGAGCCTGGAGATGTTCTTGGTCCCAGCTGGCAGCAGAGGTGATTTGGGCTCAGGCCCAGGTGTGCTCTGCTCACAGCAAACCCTGCTGCTGGCTTTCCTTCCTGCATTCCCAGAAGTTGATGATCCAGGTGAAGCATTCCCAGCTGCTCATCTGCTGCTCTGGAGCATCCTGGATTTACCAGATACCATTTTCTATGCAGGTGGACACTGTCCCACCCTCCACAACCCTTTAACCTCCCCCTTCTTCTTCTTCTTCTTCTTCCAGAGGAGACGACGTTCGAGGCTGGAGTCAAAGTCCAGATCCACAGCCAGTCCGAGCCACCCTTCGTCCAGGAGCTGGGCTTTGGGGTGGCCCCTGGATTCCAGACCTTTGTGGCCACCCAGGAGCAAAGGGTAAGTCCCGAATTTCATTTCCACACCAAGATCCTTGCGGTGGTTCCACACGAGAGGTTGTCCCTGAGCACCGATGCCCTTTGAGAGGCATCTTCAGCACAAACAGCTGGTTTTGTGCTTTGCTTCCAAAACTGGTTGGGAGGAGAGCAGCTTTTCCAGCATTACTTGCAGTGCATTGCCCACAATCCCTGTCATTTCAGCCCCAGAAGGGACCTCATCCCCTGTAATTTCCCTCGGCCGTGGCAGCCGCTCCGTGCGTTGGGTCCCGTCCAACCCGCCCAGCTCTTTGCCAAAAAGCTCTCACACCACAGGGATGGCAAAAGAGAAAAGAGGAGAGTGTTTCCTGACGTGGAGCAGCGTGAAACCCATTCAGGTGACACGGAAATAGCCCCGTTATTTATGATCAGCTGTGCTGGGATGCTCAGGATGCTTCGCCCTCCCCGAGCCCCAGCGGTGACACGTCAGCGTGGCGGCGATGGATGTGATGTGACGTGGCAGCATTAAACCCAAATCCTCATTAGGCATATGGGAAGCTGGCCAGTGGAATAGGTTTTCCCCCCAGTGCTTTCATTCCAGCCCCCCTGCCTCATTGCCTCACTCGTTTTCCTCCCTGCTCCTCCTGCATCCGCCCTCAAATGAGACGTAAATCAAGCGCAGGGAAGCGAAGACGAGCTGTTGGAGGGTTTGCTCTGATTAAACCTCCGTGGGGATCAGGGCTGCAGTTGTTCACTCCAGCTCAGAGCAAGGCAAGGTGCAGGTGAACCACCAGATTTATCATTCAGGCCTCTCTCCATGGCCACCAGGACACAGCTGGAGATGCCACAGCTCCTGGATGCAGCTCTGCTCCCCTTCCTTACGACTCACTTGTGTGTCATCCTCCAGGAGATCAGGGGGGTTTGGGCTCCAGGTGGGCGAGTGCCAGGTGGAAACTTCTCAATTAAAGCTGAGAGCTGTGGATTTGTAGATCTGGTGGGAAGCCTGGAGGAAAGGAGCAGCTTTATTACCACTCAGGGCTCTGTTTGGGAGTGTAACACCCGAGTAACAGCAAGGCAAAGGGTTCTTTGGGGGCTGAGGCAGCAGCTGCTGGAGGCCAAAGCAGAAATGGGTTGGAAAAGCCATTTTGGGCATTTTTCCCAGCCATTCCCTTGGCACAAGCCCTTCCATGCATCCCCAGGGTCCTCACCTGGCTCCAGAGGGGGAGCTGCCCCGGGGGACCCAGCAGCCTTTGGCATTGCTTCCGTGGGGCAAACTGTGAGGCAAAGGACCTGGAAGGGTGGAATAATGATTAATTAGCACCAGAACTGCTGACAGGAATTACCAGGCAGGGAATGCCTTATCCATCTCCTCTGGCATCTTGGTCACCTCCCAGAGCAGCCAGGGAATGAGTGTGCTGGGTCATCCCTGTGCCTGGAGGTGCTGTGGGTGTACTCAGTGCAGAGTGGGGTGTTCTGGATACAGCCCTGGGATTAGGGGCCAGATAAAATTCCCTAAAACTGCCAGGTGTAGCTCTTCCCACACCAGAACCTGGCAGGCACTGGATTACCCCAGGGGTGACAAATGAGTCAACAAAGGTGAGGGAGGAAGTCACTGTCGGAGCAGAGAATTCCACTGGGATCTTGCATTTCCTTCCTCAGCATGAGAGTGTTTTTCAGCTGTGAAAAAACAGCTCCAGCAGAAGCAGCAGCCCCTCAGTGAGACCCTTTAGCTCTGCAGAGAGGCCAGCAGGGGAGATGCCAAGGCTGGTGATGGATGAGGGCACTGCCCATCAGCACACAGGGCTGGGCAGGGGGGTTGCAGTGCTGGGCAATCTCCTGGTGCTCAAAGAGTTTTGGCAGCAGCTCCTCGAGTCAAACCCACCTGGCAGTTCCAGCAGTAATTGGAAAGATTTGTCTTCCTTAAACACCCCAGTTTCAGCAGGATTTGGGAGCGTGGCTGGGAGCTGGAGCCTGCAGGAAGGATCTCAAGGACTTTGTGTTGAGAGAGAAATAAGGTAAATGCTGGAGGCTTTAAGACAGCTGCTGTAAATCTTCCCCACCCCATTGCCAGCATGGAACTATTCTGTTATTTCTGCTAAAAAATTAGAATTCTTATCAGGAGGACAGAACCTGAGAGGGGAAAAAAAACACATCCCTCCCCAAATCCCTTCTTCCAGGCAGGGGGGATGTAGAAGATAACAAGAAAAACAATTTAGAGGGACTTTTAGCTCGAGTGTGTCCCTTCTTCTGCAGGTTTTGCCAGAGTTTTGATGCTGGGAGAGGGAAGGGCACATTCCTGCTTGGAGTCAGGGGTTCTGGAACTGATTTAATTGTACTGAGGGCTCCAAAGCCTTTCCCCAGGAGAGCTGGAGGGATCTTCATATTCAGCTCCCCAGGCATTGCTGCCTACCCTAATCCCTCCTCTCCATCAAGTCATTTTTTAGCCTAATTACAACCATTACAAGGTAAACTATCTCCTCTAATTACCCCCCAGGGCAATCACCCACCTTCTGAGGCTCTCAGTGCACATCTTTTATTCAACCCCCTGATTTAGTCTGTTTTTCCCCTCTAAATCTCAACACCTGGGACAAGCTGCTCCTTCAGTAAGCCAGAGCAAAAGATGGAAAAGCCCATGAACCTCACCCTGGGGACCAAGTCCAGCCAGTTATTGGGGTCCTAAAACGTGTCTTTTACGCCGTGAAACATAAAAGAAATGATCCTCCAGCTGGAAAAGAACAGAAATAAAGATAAAGAGAAGGTCGTTTCCCATCTCCCAGCTCAGAGGAGCCTCTGTTAGTTATAAGCACTATTTCCAGCAATAAAATATAGGTGTGGATTGGGGCAGACTTGCCTTGGTGTGATGTGGGAGCTGTGTCAGACAGACTTTAAGGTGCAGGGGGTTGTTCATGGCTGGGTTAGAGGTTCATGGCTTTATTTCTGACTATTCCTCAAATCTACCCTTTGGATCCCCATCCCAGGCTGGAAATAAGAGTATTTTCTGGGCTTTGCTTCCTGATTTCCTGCCTTTCCAGGTGTGCAGCTGCTTAGCACCAAGCAAGGGCTTTGCATCTTGGTCCCAGGGTGATAAATCCTGGCTCTTTACACCCAGAGCTTTCCCAAAGCCCCTTGTCAGAGCCAGCTCTGGGGCTGGGCTGGTGTGTGATCCCATTAAATCTCCCTTTAAAATTAGCTGCCAGTCTGGAGAAAAAAAAAAAAAAAAGGAACCAAATCAGCTTTTCTCCTCCTCCTGCAGTGGCTGAGCCCTCTTGATTCCTGCGGGGAGAGGCTTTTTAAGACACATTTCCCAGTTTTTGGGAGCCAGGTGGTTAATGTGGGAATGCTGAGCTGCACTAAGAGCATCCTGAGAGGGGCTTCCCACGTGTCTGGGCTTGGGAGTGCTGAGTCAGCCAAAGCAATCCTGCAAAAAGGCAGTGCCAGCAGGAGGTTTCCTCCACAAAATGTGGTGGTTGGGTTATTTAGGCCAAGCTGTTCGTTTGCTGTGGGCTCGTGGCCGAGGGGAAGATGTTTTCTGGCTGTGAGAGAACTGGGATCGTTCAGCCTGGAGAAGAAAAAGATTTGGGGTGACCTGATTGTGGCTTTCCAGGACCTGAAGGAAGCCTAGAGAAACATGGAAAAAGACTGTTTACAAGGGCATGTAGTGACAGGACAGGGAAGTAGGTTTAGATTGGATATTAGAAAGAAATTATTCACTGGGGAAAGTGAGTCCCTGGCACAGGTTGGGCAGAGAAGCTGTGGCTGCCCCTGGATCCCTGCAAGTGTCCAAGGCCAGGTTGGAGGGGGCTTGGAGCAACCTGGGCTAGTGGAAGGTGTCCCTGCCCATGGCAGGGGGTGGGATGGGCTTTAAGGTCCCTTCAAACCCAAATCATTCTGGGATTCTCTGAAATCTGACACTAAAGTCTGGGGGGAGCCAGGACTGAGCTCCCTGAATGACTCAGGAGGCAGCACATGATGGATGATCACAATTAAAACAAGAGTGTCTGGATGGAGGAGGGTGGAAAACCTCCTCCCTGGATTAGCCTCCAGGCTGTGGCTGTGTCTGACTGCCAAGGGAAAGGAGCTGGAGTGGTTTCCATGGCTGTGTGAGCCCAGAGCTGCTGGTCTGGGGGGTTCACACCCTTTCTCCTGGGGTGAGCTGGCCACAGTCCCTGTCTCAGCCATGGTCCCTGTTGTGCCTCAGAGCCAGGGATGCTCCAGGATGCAGGGGTGTGTTTCCATGGCAATTGCTGAGACTAATGAATGAGGGTTGTTTGCTCATGAATGGGAGCTGTGCAGAAGCTGGCACAGGACATGCTGTGCCCTCACCCTCCAGTCAGGTCCCAAGGGAGGGCAGGATCCCCCAGAGCAGGGCAGTGCCCTTCACTTCCCTCTGCTCCTCCCTTTGGAGGGGTCCCCCTCAGTTTTCCCTGCTTTCCTGGCTCTTTTGGGCCAGCCTGGTGTTGTAACAACCCTCTCCAGACCTTCTGTTGTGCTTGGGGGGGCTGCAACATCCCCCCATGCCCTGCACCAGACCACGGCACCGAGGCCTGGATGGACACACTGGAAATTACATTTCTAAGGGCTGATCCCTGGATGGACACACTGGAAATTACATTTCTAAGGGCTGATCCCACGGAGAAAAATAAACTCCTGCTGCCTTTGGCTCCCCTTTTCCTGGCTGGTTTTTGCAGCTGCATCTCAGGGGGCATCTCCCAAACCTCTCCCAGAAGGGCTGGGATCAGATAATGGTTCTTCCCCAAGCAGCTGCTCCCGGCCACGCCACGGGCACAGCACATTAAGAGGAGATGAAAAGCACGCTGAAAATGGCAATTTCTGCCAACTTGGCAGTAAAAATTTAAGAGGCTTCAATTAAGCAACAGGTTGGAAAGATGGAGCAATATCGTTTAATAGGGCTCGAGTGGGCCTTGGAGACTCATCCCCTCGTAACGCTTGCACGGGACAGAGAGCAGCAGCTACCAGGAACTGCAGCATCCAAAGTGTAATTACAGAGGCAGGAAAATGGGACTT